AAGGAGCAAAGTAAAGCATAACATAACCGCAAATATGTCTTTATGAGGCTGAGACGTCAGGCCTAACTAACATCATAGTTAGAGAAATAACGTTCTGCAGCCTGATTTTTATCATCTCTAAATCAGCATTGCAGCTATGCTAGCAACATTGAGCTTTCAATAGGATTTAATTTCTCAATAGATAGTTAATCAGTTTTTACCTGTTTCATCCCGTGTCTCCTCTCCCCATGACCCCTGGCTGCCTCGCTTTGCCCCATTTGGTTTTCAAAACAAATGAGTCTCAGTCGTTCTTGCGTCTTCTCGTGTTGCATTCACTGCAGTCCGACATTGGAAATTAGCGGTTGTAATTCTCAAATCATCTATAATTTGTAAGCCTCACCACACCTCCCGCCAACTGGGGTGGCAAGGCTTTCATTTGCCACCCTATGCCACCCCAGTAGATCCGCCTATGGGAAAAAGGTTCTTCTGTTCCTTCTTTGGTTTGATTTTCATCCCTCACACTCAGTAAGGCCAACAGCAGAAGAGTTACTATAATGAAACGGTTTCTATAAGCTACATCCATGCAGCATGTTGGTCCTGAGCAGAAAATAAAAGGTGGAAAATGGCACAAACAGGATTAGTATTTGAGTTTTGAATGAACAATGTTAGGATAATTATCATTGAAGATGTGTGACTTCATTACACCTTGATATTGGCTGCCTGTTCAGGTCAGAACTGATGTTTTAATCTAACTAAGACAGTTCCTCTATCTGGATATACAGTAATAATCTTCATCCTGCACGTGGGAAACATTTGGAAATGGAATGAGAGCGGCGTCCTTCAGCCAAGAACGAAGTGTAATATTTTGATAAGGCTGGAGCCATGGATGTCTAATCATCTGCTAATGTTTTTGATGTAAAATATGATGATGTGGCGAAATGGAGATGTATTTAATGCCTTTTTAACTGTTAATCAGGGCCACTTCCTGTGAGGTGAGCCCAGAGGTGAGCAGCTGCCATTCTGTAAACTCTAAACAATCTGATCTGAGTACGATTACAATTTCTATCAGAATCTGTTTCATAAATATAAGTTATGAAGTGTTATTTAAAGAGTTTGTTCCGAGTGATCTCTTTTCAGGGAAAAGAATCGGAAAGATAGAGCATCAGGGTGCATAAACAGAGCCTATCTTTAACGATTACATTTAAAAGAAGATATATCCAGATATCAAATAATATTTCTAAGACAATACTACATAATATACGTTTGTCATAAAGAACAAAAACGTGGGGAGTTTATTAACAAATGATTATATTATATTATTAGACCCTCTGAGGCTGAGAAAACAGAGAAATTGCAAAACAAGAGATGAGGAAAATTTCTTTCCTTTGTTTTCTCCCAAAAAAGAAAGGACAGCTTCATTTCCTAAAGCTAGCCTTAATTCAAAAAAATAAAAATAATCAGGAATGTTGATTAAAAATATTGAGGATTGATATAAATATTGATTATATCCCTGCAGGTGGAGATAATCTACCCGGCACACACCTACTCTAACATTCTGCCTAATTTCACTCTGGCTAACCTGTATGAGAGCAACGGAAAAGCTTTGGGGATGAAGTTTCCTGAGCAGCCAGCCAGCTTCTCTGGTTGGTAAATATGAATGTTTACAGAAACGTTCTCATCTCTTTCTGTTTTCTGTACAAAATGCAACATTTAGCATCAGGATTGTCTATCTTTACACAGAATTAGGGATGCACGATATTGGGATTTTGGCCGATATCCGATATGCCAATATTTTAAAACTCATGTAGCCGATAACCGATATCGATACCGATGTTAC